TTATTGACTCATTTTTCGGAACTATAGCACAACAAAAGCCATTAACAGAGTATATATATATATGTGATATATATCCGGGAAAAAAGTACTCACTTTTTTCCCACGGGAAAAAAGTAATTTATGAAAAGTGACATTTTATAACCTGTCAACAGAGATGAAATGCCAAACTTTTTTCCCGTCACAAAAAAATAGTTATTTATTATACAAGGGAAAAAAGTAGTAGATTTTAGCTCCAGGTTGTGTTGTCTCCCGACGCGTAGCGGAGGGAGACAAAAAACCGTGAGCTAAAATCTAATATTTTTCCCGTGTATATAATACACTATTTTTTTCTGTGACAGAAGGAAGAACGAATCAATATTGAGAAGATATTACATTATTTCGAAATCTGAAAATTATCGACGTGAAATTTCAAGTTTTTAATAGTAGGGACACCTGCGTTTTATAGGCATCTTTATCATTCTTTTGAAGTAATCAAATATCTGATGTCACTTCTGTCAGTTCAATCCTATGAGTTGATTTTGAAAAATTGCAAATTCAGTAGTTGTTTAGTAATATACGAAACCGCGAAGTCGAATGGAAGATAAAAGGACTTGCAGTTCTTTCTCGGAGACGGTATTATTGACTAATTTTTCGGAACTATAGCACAACAAAAGCCATTAACAGAGTATAGGTTTATATGTGATATATATCCGGGAAAAAAGTACTCACTTTTTTCCCACGGGAAAAAGTAATTTATGAAAAGTGACATTTTATAACCTGCCAACAGAGATGAAATGCCAAACTTTTTTCCCGTCACAGAAAAATAGTTATTTATTATACAAGGGAAAAAAGTAGTAGATTTTAGCTCCGGGTTGTGTTGCCTCCCGACGCGTATTGCATTTTTCTGAATATGTTATAGGTAGATGTAGAAGGTATGTAATTTTGTTATTTTTTATGTAGCATTCGATATCTATTATTTTTGCTATCAACAAAATATTGTCTGGAGTAATTTCGAACGGAAATTGATCTTCATTGATCGAGTTTTTGAGTTTTGAAAGCTCGTTGTAGAGATCTGAGATTCTTATAATGCTGGGGTGCATAGTGTTAGATTTGGAAAAAGTCATTGAATTCTCAATATCTTGCAAAAGGGAGTTGATCACTTCGTATACATTTATCATAGGGATTCTCTTTCGTGCGCTACAAGCGATAAAAAAAAATCTGTTCAAATTTCAGTATTTGTTACAAATGAGAATTGATGAAGAAGAAATTGAATTTTACCAAGAATTATAATATGGAAATGTATCTCATTGATTTGTTATTCTACATGGTTGCCGAGAAAATAGTATGCGCAACAGATCCAAAACCAGTTTTTTTGGACTCGCAGACTTGGCTACTCGCCAAAAAAAAAACAAAACAGTGTCTTCCGGACATGTTACGTAAATTACTATTTACTGTGCATGACTGGAAAAAAATTGACATTTCATCTCTATTGACAGGTTGTGAAATGTCACTTTCCATAAATTACTTTTTTTCTGAATATATATCACATAATATACACTGTTGATGCCTTTTGTTGTGCTATAGTACCGAAAAATGAGTCAATAATACCGTCTCCGAGAACGATCTGCAAGTCCTTTTATCTTCCATTCGACTTCGCGATTATGTAAATCACTAAACAACCAATAAATTCCCAATTTATTAATATCTAATCACAGAATCACACTGACAGATATTTGACTAGGTACTTCAAAAGAATGATAGACGCCTCCAACGCAGGTGTCATTACTGTTAGGAACTTCAAATTTCACTTCGATAATCTTCTGATTTCAATATAATGTAAAATATAGTGTGATATATTGATAAAAAAGTTTATATAAACATGAGTCCGATCACGATTAGTAGCTGAGCTACGGCGGGTCAAAGTTTAATTAAGTTTTTAAGTGATATATTGATAAAAAAGTTTATGTATACATGAGTTCGATCACGATCAGTATTAGCGGAGCTACAGAGGGTCAAAGTTTAATTATTTTTTTCTATTGATTAAAATATCTAGATTAGTTTCGAAGACATCAATCTGAAATTTGTTGTGGTCAATACTGATTAGCAGACTATCATTTCAATCATTTTAAAAATGTTCAATATCTATAGGGCTATACGTTTTCCGAGGTAGAGCTTAACATGCTTGGTTATTATCTCAAAAACGGTTCGTTTTTCAAAAATGATTGGTAAGAAAGAAAAGCCTCTAAATTGAACGCACTACCCAATTCATCAACTGGAAGATATCAGATGCGTACTACGAAAAAGTTTGAGAGGGATAAAAAAAGTTTCTACCCCCAAAAACGTATAACCCTGTAGATATTGAAAATCTCTAAAATGCTTTGAACGATGATCTTCCAGGAAGTATCAACCATACAGAATTTCAAATTGATATCGTGATAAGTGAACGAGATATTATAATTAATAGAAAAATAATTATTTATTACACAGTAGAAATTAAACGGTGAAATTGAACACTATATCTGTTCCTGGGAGGACCACCAAGCTTTCAACTCTATAGTTTAGTATATTATAGTGTGATTTTTTCAATTCTATTAGTGTCAATTTTCAATGCATAAGCACATTCAAACTCACTCTATTCCTTTCTCTGAATATATTGAATAAACACAAAAATAGAGTTGAAAGAAACAATTTCTAAAGTGAACATTCCACTCAAGACCCAAGCTAGTGTCAATGTCATCACTTTAGAGTAAAATTCAATAACCGAGTTATTACATAGTGACAAAAGTTGGCAGTAGGAATATGATAGTAGAGTAGATTTCACATTATGAACAGTGTCGAATCCACCGGAAATTGATTGAATTATTCACTCTACCTGGATGTCAAATTGCTCCTGCATTATTCAAATTAATACTACTATGTGTTTTGGTGCTAATAAGGAATTATCTTTTTTTCATCAATTTAGATTGATATAGAACACTAGTTGAGTAAAATAGGCACTACAATTACTGTTGAAATTTCATCCAAGGAATCGGAATTGACGGATGAGATGTAGTGTGAAGTTATAATATTTTAATCGTTTGATATTAGAAAAATGACTCGAGTCGCATTAGACTATCTTGTTAACCTATCTGTTTCATGAATCGTTCGAAATAATGATTCAAACGGAAAAAAACGGGAAGAAACTAAGATATAGTAGAGAAGCTACTTGAAGTTAATATCATGATCATAATATTATCGGCACTATCATCATTATTACTTATTTCACTATCCAGTATAGACTGAATTATCTGAAGCAGTATAGATTGATATTTCATCGTATACTTATAGATTGAATTGAACAATAATAGTGTGTCAATTTAATCGACAAGAGTGGGACATTCACAAGTTCACTAGTGTCAGTTAACAGTATGAGTTCATTTTCAATTGTTTGTGAATTGAAGTTATCTGACTTGATATTTTCTTGAAATTTCAGGAATATAGAGTGAATTCAATACGGAACTAGTGTAGTTATAGAGTTGATTGCAGTATCAGAGTGAGTTTGACAGAGTATTTCAACACTAAAATAACATACTCTGCGAATCTAACTCGAAGCGCTTTTTACTGTGTATACAAGGGAAAGAAGTAATAGATTTCAGCTTCAGATTGTGTTGTCTCCCGACTATTATTTTACAGAAAAATTAAGAAACAGGTCGATTTTTATATGGAGGGGGACACCTTTTGACGCGAAATAAATAATCCATACTCCAACCCTCTACTCCCCAGACGAACCCCCTCAATAATTCAAATAGGGAATAAGGGTTGTGTTATACATCATTGCAAAGGTAATTCAATTTTGAAACTAATAGTGTCAAGTTCTTTGAATTCCTACAATGGTATGTTCTCCAATTGCGAGTAATTGAATGAACGGAATAAATTATTGAATGGTTATCCACAACAAATGTTCAAAATTGTCTTCATTGCCTTCCAGACAATGGTATAATCTATTTGTGAATTCCTTTTGCACATTTTAAATGTTCCTCTAGTTATTTCTTGACATGCATCCCCTTATTCTAAACATATCGTCCAGATCATGGTCCCTCACGAACTATCTATTTGTTTGGGAAATTTCAGGGTAGCCATTCTCTCACCTGTGATACGGAATGGGTTGACACATTATCTTGTTGAAAATGAATATTATCTGCCAATAGATTTTGATTTCCATCATCATAGTGGTCCGTAGAGGACCAATAGAATGGACAGCACGTCTGCCGGACTTGGCACCCAATGATTTCTTCCTATTGGGTCATTCAAAATCGGTAATTTATAAAACGGTCCAAGAGGAATTTTCAAATAGACTCTACCACTGTCTGAGAGTCAATGGGGGTCATTTTGAACATCTTTTGTGATAACCTGTTCAATAATCTATTATTTACATTCATTTACTCACAATTTAAAAACATTCCATTCGAACTCGAATATCTCGAGAATGACTTGTTCGAATTCAAAAAACTTTCCACTGCTAGTTTCAGAATTGAATTACCTTCGTAATGGTGTATAACACGACCCTCATTCCCTATTCAAATTATTGAGGGGATTGCTCTGGGGAGTAGAGAGTTCAAGTATGGATTATTTATTCTGCGTCAAAAGGTGTCCCCCTCCATATGAAAATCGACCTGTTTCGTAATCGTAATTTTATTGTGAAGTACTCAATTTTTTCCCGTGGGAAAAAGTATGTTTTGAAAAGTGACATCCTATAACCTGTCAACAGAGATAAATTTTGAACTTTATTCCCGTCACAGAAAAAAATAACTGGACTTCTCTGTAGCTCCGCTTCTCATCGAGATCGGACTCATGTTTATATCAACTTCCTTGATTGAAATGATTAGATCTATCACTCATTTCAGTTCGTATCCTGAAACCTGAATCACCCTGTATACATTCTTGAGTCCTAGTGCATATGACTGGAAATTGGAAATGCTAGGGAGCCCCGAACCTGACTTGACGAATGCTTCTTTCTAAAGTATTGTCATTGGTCATTACAGAAATGGTCGAGATGGAGGAAGATCCCAGTGAAATGATATGTCCAGCAGCAGTAGAGAGAAATCCAGGTACCACCATACACCACAGATTACCAGTCAGAAATACCAATGAAGAAGCCACAGGATCTGCAAAACAACCGAGCAGCAAAAGTACCGAAGGTGCTGAAGAATCTCGAGATGAATTCGTACCTAAGATACGATGGCCAGACACTATAGTACAAATATTTTTACATGCAGGCTGTTTATATGGACTTTTTTTGTGCCTTGTGTCCGCTAAGTTTTATACGACATTATTTGGTAAGTCGCAACTGAGAAATATTCATATTACACACTAACTGGCCATTCACCTTAAGTTACGAGAGGTCCTTCAGCCTATGTGGGTTCTATGTAGTTTTTGTTAGTGACTCCATATGCCACCTTTGGAGCAACGAAAAGTGGAATTTTCAAGTGTATTTTAGGACTATATACTTAAATACCCATCAGATAGGACGAGTATATTCATTGAAGAATATTTTTATAATGGCTAACTCAACTCTGGCTAACTCAAAGTGGATTGAAATGTTGATGTTATTTCGAATGGAACTTCCCACTGAGCAAATTTGGAAGCTATGTTGACGCAAGGTTGTAGCAATTACGGAAAAAGACGCTCAGCAATATTGCAAATGTAAATTTGTAAATGTAACGTTCCAGCAATGTCACAGCAACATGTAATATTGCTGCAACGCTACATCATCGAACTGAAATGGACAATCATGGATCATTGCTGTGATTTTTATCTATTTCATAAATATTCCTAATAAGTTATAGACATAATAACAATAATTTGATAATTATTAGTTATTCTACTAATTTTGTTTAACAAATGAATAATTTTTTTCGCGATGGATCTGGGTTTATAGCAAGCTTCACTTCATCCTCAAATAGATTTTGATTTTATTCTCGATTTCTTGACTTATCCATGCTTTCATTTGAATGTGACACGTGTTGCTCAATCATTTTTAGTGGGAGAAATATTCGCTCAATTGAAATTATTTAATCAAGCTAAACCAAATAGATTAAACAGTTTCCTTGATTGATACCACGAAATACGATAAGATAGATATGGTTACTGTTACTTCGAATTCCAAAAATAGTTGAAAAAGAATATTCTCAGATATAATTATGAACATGAAAAAATGTATATACAGGGTGGGCCACCAGTAACGACTCGGTCTCTAGAAGGCTGACCACTTATCTTCTTGGAATTCTTCCTCTCTAGGAAGTTGCATGTCAACATAGGCTACCATTTGAAATTATTTTGAAACATACAGGATGTCCCCAAAAATCACAAAACACTGAAGTTGAACTTTTTTCAATCGAACACCCTATATATTATTTCATTTTGAGATTCTCCCTGGTGAGCTGATTTCAACAATCCATCATACTTGGGGTCTAGCAGTTATAATTACTGAGATATAGGGTGTGACAAATCGAGATTTTCCAAGTTCAAGAATTTTTTGTGTCTAAACCATTCATAATTGGTCAAAACGGCTCACATGTCCCTATCTCAACTTTTGATCAACTATCTACTGACATTCAATTGAAACAAATACAGGGTGGTGCAGAATTCAGAATCTTGATCACTTCCTAGAGAGTAAGAATTCCAAGAAGATAAGTGGTTAGCCATCTAGAGACCGAGGCGTTACTGGTGGCCCACCCTGTATATATATGAAGAAATACATTGAGAATTCGCATTCTTTATGTGATGAAAATACCAATTTTTTCTCGGTTTACTCAGCAGAAAACAACTACTTTCATGGCTATAAGCCACGACGAACATTGAATTAAGTACATCTATTGAAGTTACACGATAAGAATTTGAAAACAAAATCTTCTGAAGTAGAGAATTTGCATTCTCCTTCATGAAAACAACTAATTTCGTGGCTATTTTCCACGTCGAACATTGAATTATATCTGTTGAACATCCAAAAAGAGATCATGAAAAATAAAAATCCTTTGACACCCGGTATATACGGCTTCTTACGACGTAGTTTTCCTAATGGAAACTCGGAGACGCCTTATAATAATCCAGGGCGACAGAAGAGTAATGGACAGCCTTTAAATTGATTAATCAAAGGGGGTTCTTGCTTTTATGTACGCGACTTTATCGGATTTCTGTTTCATTCTTGGCGCCATACTCAGGAATTAGGACAACTTTGCAGATTGCAAGTATGGGAATATAAAGTTCAGTTCTGTTTTTCTATTTGATATAATAATAATAATAATGATAATAATGCGGCTTTATTATTCATTCATCAAAATGTCAACATGTACCGGGTGTACCACTGAGAAAGGACGCCGGCTGTATCTCGGAAACTATTTGCCGCACAGGTTTCGTAAAACAATATTCATGATAAAAGGGGCCAAGAAAAATATCTGGAAATTATTTTCAAGTTTCCAGGACAGCCGCTAGAGGGCATCTTTGCATTGGCCAACCTAAAAAACGGGTTTTTATGAAAATTTGATACATCAAGATATATCAGAAACACTTTTTCCACGTACTCGAGTAGATTCCCAATCATTTCGATCAAAAAAATTGCGCTAGCTCTTTAAATAAAAGAGGGAGGGAAGGATGAATAGTACTCTGGAAAAACTCTTATTCCTACAGTTTGGAGTAACGGAATTCATTGATATTGGTCTCATTATGAAGGGTTTTTTCAGATCTTCCAGATAAATCACGAATCAAGTCGATTCGAATCCCGTGGTGGCCGCTAGATGGCATCGTTTGAAAAATCAGCCGATTTGTAATTTTTTCCCGAGAATTTCAAATGGAACCATATATTTTTTGCTATGATATGAAAGTGAAGTAAACGAGCAGAAAAATGGTGAAAACCGCGAGTTGATACCTCTTGAAAAACTGGAAAAATACTCGGAATAATATTAAAATTTAAACTGTTAGCATGATGAATGCCTCCTAATTCGTTATCGGCATTTTGAGAAATAAGCGATCCACTGTGAAAACTTTCAATGGAACTTCAATTATATTTTGACGTTTCTTTCATTCAAAGCCAACTTGCCTTTTTTCATTCCTGAGCCTATACTCACGAATTACATTTCAATTAGCTATGTCATTACTAAGAGTCTCCTTCACTATTGTGAGATATAACAGCAGTTTGTGAAAGCAACATGAATGAATAATTGAAATCGTAATGTCATAGATACATGATATTTCTGATGACGATTATTGAAGTTAGATTCCTATGGTGAATATTTTCATAATATTATTTCGAGTATTTCACCGGTTCCTCAAGAGGCATCAATTCGCGGTTTTCACCATTTTTCTTCTTGATTGCTCTACTTTCATATTAAACTAGAATGGATATATGGTAGCATGTGAAATTTTCGAAAAAAATGGAGAATTGTCTGATTTTTCAAACGATGCCATCTAGCGGCCACCACAGGATTTAAATCGACTTGATTCGTGATTCATCTGGAAGAACCAAAAAAACCCTTCATAATGAGACCAAGATTGTTGAATTCCGTTACACCAAACTGTAGTAATGGGAGTTTTTTCAAAGTACTATTCATCCTTCCCTCCCTATTTCATTTAAAGAGCTAGCGCAGTTTTTTCGATCGAAATGATTGGAAATGAACTCGAGAACATGAAAATAGTGTTTTTGATATGTATTGATGTATCAAATTTTCATAAAATCCCGTTTATTAAACTGGTCAATGCAATTACGCCCTCTAGGGGCTGTCCTGGAAACTTGAAAATAATTTTCAGATATTTCTCCTGGCCATTTTTATCATTCATATTTTCATATTTTCAAATTTTGCTTTCGCTCGGCTTCGCTAAACGCTCCGCCTCGCAAATGCAAAATTCGCTTGTCAAACAGAGTAGGTATCACTTTTGATCCTAATGAAACAATCTACTATTATCTGCGAACGGATTTTATTTATCTTACTGGTTTATTTTCGATAGGTTAGTATCTCTATTTTATGAATTGCATTTCTCGATGATGTACTGGATTCATATTTTCCGAAATTATTTGTCGGTTTTGCTGAAATGAAGGCCATAAGTTTATAAATAAACCACGACATAACACTTCACTATTTTCACGTACCATCCTCAATATGAAATGGAATGTTCTATTTTTATTACTGATAACTGGTGCTTGAATAGTATTATGCATCAACAACATACAGTGCTTCTGTAATGCACTGAGTAAATCCATTTTTAGTTATCCAATGCTCAGAATCTCCTGGAACGGTAATCTCAATTTGCCACATCTGTATGGAAAAATTTAATCTACAGGATGATCAACGTTTGAGTAATGATGCCCGCGAATTTTTGTTTCCGTATGGTACACGCTATATATTCAAAAACAAGTTATCCATCCAGATTTTTCCTCTACAGCAATCGGAGCACTTTGTTTTGGGGCGAGTCTGTTCCCTGCAATCCTATTTGTGACTCTACCTGTATCAACGACAACAGCGGAAAGGAGCTTTTCAACCATAAAGCGCTTGAAAACCCACTTAAGGTCAACCATTGGTGAAGAGAGTTTGAATGGTCTAACTCTACTTAATATTCACAACGAAGTTGATTTGAATATTGTAAATGTAATAAATACTTTCGCCACAAGTAAAGCCAGACGAATGAGCCTCGAAGACTGGTCAGGTTGAAATATTTGATCTAAAAAAATTTATAAGTATGCTATTTTTCATGAATGTTCATTGCTTAGCCAAAATAAAAAAGACTGGTTGTTCTGGAATCTGGTGTTTCGTTTAATTATATTCGTCAATGTATCACGACAATTGACACCCCCCTTCCCCCCCTAAAGCGAAATTCTAAACAAGCCACTGCGTAGATCCGCTACTGATCGAGATCGGACTCATATGTTAATATAAACTTTTTAAATTGAAATGATGAGATCTACCACCCATTCCAGTTTGTACCTCAAAACCTGAATCACCCTGTATATTGATCATTCATTAGAATATAAAATCTATTTGTTTTCTTTTTCAGCATTCCTAATGATATATATCACAGGCTTTGGTATAACAGCAGGAGCTCATAGGCTATGGTCGCATAGAGCATACAAAGCAAAATGGCCTTTAAGGCTGTTACTAGTCATTCTTTTCACAGTGACAGGCCAGGTAAATATGAATTCACTCCGCAGAAATATAGCGAGATGATTATAACACCATGTATATGGAGCAGTTTTCACTTCAAAAATTATGACGCAGATTTGTAGGAGTTGAAGAGGGGTATTCACAATAATTGTAATGTAATGTAACTTGAAGGGGATAAATTTTAACATGCATGTTTTTTCAAAGAGAAGAGTCATTTTCAAATATCCTCATCGAGTTCGAATCTTCCTGTGAATTGAGATAAAACTGACGAACAGTTACCGATGTATTTGACCGTGGACTATTGCACAACCCTGTATGAATATATTTCAGGTTAATCTATTATGGCACACCTGGGTGCGTGATATCATATTGTGTTCATTTTTAACTATCGATTGGTGTTCAAAGAATCCACATATATGTTCACTATCACGCTCGAATCTACTAGATTTTCATTATCTTCTGTTTGTTTTACATCATCATATACTATAGTTTTCTCCGAAGGTGATCAACAAATAACTATAACTTGTCAGCATAGAATTCATAATTGTTTCAATCAAATGTTTATTCTTTTTCGATAGTTCTTGGACTTGGATGTATATCTACCAAATCCAGAATTTCTTCTTCAATTTATTTGTGCTCTTCCTTGTTCTTGGACATTGTTTCATTGCACAATTTGTTTTGGAACATTAAATTATGTGAGAAAGTCCTGCTGAATTGCCTCGTGAATTGCTGATAACTGAGAAGCAATATAGGGGCAGTACATATTGTATTCTTATGAGAACTATTTGTTGATCAACTTCATCTCCAAATTTTACGTTGATTTGACGTATCTTCCGCGCTACTCAGACTCGTTCGGTTCGTTATCAAATGACAAATGAAATCAAATCAAATATACTTTATTGTCAGAAGAAATTAAGTTTTTACCGACAAAGTCATCATACTCAGAAATAAGAATTGTGAAATATTAAGGTGTAATAAACAAATAACAATTGCGAGATATTCACAACATAAGAAACACATAACATTGATATTAAAAATATATAAAATAGGTAAAAAAAAATGTATATAAAAAAATATAGGCATCAAAATAACAGGTACCTACCTACTATTGAAAGTTTAAATTTTTCCAAATAAAGTTCATCTAACGAGTAGTAAGCTCTCTCTAGCAATCTATTCCTTACAGAACCTTTGAATTTCTTGAAATTAGTCAGCATTTTGATCTCGTCTGGCAAATGATTGAATGATTTTTTTCCTATTATAAAAGAAGGAGTTTTTGATTCGAGAAGTAGATGATATTGGTACCGATATATCCATAGACTGTCTTGTGTTATAACGATTCGTTTTTTCAGAATTTTCATTCATGTATTTACTGTAAATAAGACACACTGTTTCCAAAATGAAGATACAAGGCAGTGTTATTCTTGCCAATATGAAAATTGATCATTGTTTGCCAGTATTTCTAATGTGTATGTACTTGCCACAGTATATAAAGACAATCTAGGTACTATGCTGTTGAAAAATACATATCATATATTGGACAAATGAGTGAGATTGCAGGAATTCGATTCACAGAACATATTTCCCCTATATAATAGGCAACGTTCTTCCGAGATTGATCATAGTTTTTTTTAGAGGCACGTCTACGTTTGGGCTTTAGACCACAGAGTCCATCACAAGTACAGTGAGACAGATGCCGACCCCCATAACGCCAAAAGGGGTTTCTTCTTCTCCCACGTTGGTTGGTTGATCTTGACACCCCATCCCAGTGTGGTGGAAAAGAGAAAAGCCGTTGATATGAGTGATTTGGAGGCTGATCCTATCGTCATGTGGCAGAAGAGGTCAGTGTTTTCCCAAATTATTGACGATTCTACCAAGAATATTCCGCAGTTCTATTATGAGAAGAAGAAAATTATAGAATAAATTGAAAGAGAAATTTGCCGAGAAGTAAACGAGGTGTTTCATTAAAGAAACTCGAGAAAAATCATTTCAAGAAGTTCCGAATTGAAATAGTTATTCATACACCAAGGTGGTAAATAATATTAGTATTCCCCAGGGTCCAAGAGGCTTCAGCCGACGAGTATGAGGTTCTGTAGTAATATTATTATTTACTACCAAGGTGTATATTGATTTTTTTCGCCACTAGAAGTACATTTCACCGTCAATTACCGTTTTTTTTTGTGGTTTCTTCAGACAAAATTTTCTTTTCACGGAAAAAATGGCTCATTAGGCTAATTCATTCGTGCACAATATATTTCCAACAAAATCCAACAAATTTCACAACACAGAAATGGACGTGACAAGCTCATACTAGATGAAGTATGGTTTTGAGGAACAGGCAGTTTTAAAGCAATGAAAAAGATGAATTCTTTTTCGTTATCCCATAGTGATACTTTGATTTAACGGTATTCAGATGACAATTCAAAATTTAATTTCAAAAGTCTCGGATTGTTCTTTAGAATTACGACGTACGTGGTTTGTTCTTTCCTTGGTATCAAAATGTAATCTTTCAGCGAGATTACGAAATCGATGACAAAATGACTGACGCCATCGTCAAATGACGTTTTCTGAGAAGGAGATGATTTATCAATAGTAAAAATACAAGAGCTTTTTTTAATTGGGTGAAATTTCTCTTGGTATACTGGCCTAACCATGAAAGATCGTTGATATTCATCAATTTTGAGAAACATGTGTGAAATTGGACTAGAAATCATACTCTCGGCGGTTAATTCGAAAAAATAAAATTTTTTACATGTAGAGGAAGTCATGAGATCCCCAACGAGTAGGAGATTTTTCATAATTTTTTTTTTAAAAACTCAACGTCCAAGTCGAATTTCAAAATTTATTATAATAAAGTTTCTCCATATGATGCTAACTTTCTAAAAGAGACAGTGTATTATTTAATATAAGAATCTAATCGATTTCATAGACAGATCGAACTATGCAACTTTTCCATTGCTTCTTATGATCCAGATCCCCAATTAAAAAAAAAACATATTCTAACATTATTTTTATTCCAGGTTGTATCTTCCACTGTTCGTGATCTTCAACTTGTTCCTCCCAGTAATGACTCCTGTTTATTTTTGGGAAGAGAGCATCTGGAACTCGTTCTGGATCAATTTCAATTTCCGGTTCACAGCGACCCTCAACATAGCCTTTTTCGTCAACAGTGTTGCACATATGTGGGGCCAGAAACCTTATGATAAGTCAGTACTTTCCTTCAATATTTTTTATGCACGACCGAGCGTGAAGTGGAAATTTATCGCCTGGATTCGTGGGCGTAAAGTAGCACTTTAACGCCATAGGGTGATAAAAGAGTAAAGCGGGCGGTGAAGTAGTCCATCGGGTGGTAAAGTAGGTGACAGTACCTATAGTAATGTCACTGTTTTCTCAGTAATTGCGAGTAAACTACTATACGACGATCTATCTTCGCCAGTGGCATACACAATTTAGCCAAATGAATTCGAAATCATTAATAAATTCGATATTGACATTTAATATTTTTGAATTTTAGAATGATTTGAATAGAATACAAAAATCGCAAAACAGAGCAATGCGTATTATATTACCATGTAATAAAGGATATCGATACCATAGTTCAATAGTGTAACAACTCGAGGAATAACCATTTTGAGTTGTATACATATACGCTATCTGATTCATCATTTTGTTAGCTTCCACGGGCTATACTGTAACAACTGAAAGTTCAGTACTAACCAAGAGATGGTGCTAAATACTCTATAGAACCGAAGGAAACTCCATTTCCATATAATTTCATACTGTAATAACTCGATACAATCAAGACTTGTAACAGTTTTGAACTGTGAAATATTTTCAGTAATTCAGCGAGTTGTTACATTGCATTGCTCAAAATGGTTAATTTCGACACTCAAAACAAACTTATAATACCATGTTATACCGGGTGACACAGGGTATCGGGCCACCCCTGTGATTTCTGTATTCGTCAACGGATTTTTCTGAAATTCGGTACAGTTATATAAGCAATCATTTCGGATTTGATCACATTACAATCCAATATGGCGGACTTCCAGTATTTCTGGAAATGCCAGCAACTTTGTTTTTTCAAATGAAACACTTTGTATATTTTTACCTATTCAAGTTCAATAGGTCGAAACAAGTGCAATCTTTATTTCAGATGTCATTTTTTCGAAAAAAATTAAATTAAAATTGTTTTTTCATTTTACCTCGTGGATAAATGAGATGTGGTCAAGACTATTCACAATGAGTCACACATAACAGAAGAACATAATTTTTTCTGAAAAATTATTTTTTGTGTCACTTATCCAGGAATAAATTCAGCCACATCACTTTTTGATCAAAAATGTTTTTTTTTTCAAATGGAACCCCTATGGGCCACCTACCCGTTTCTCTATAACATACATTAAGGAACAAAATGAAATATCATTTTTGTTTTTCGGTGCAGTAACAAATTGTATACATTCAAAAATCAACAACTAGTTTATGAATTTCCTTGCAGTTAGAATAATTTTTCAACTAGGTAGGCTGTGGAATAAATGACATTTGACATCAAGAATGCACTTGTTTTGACCTGTTGAACTTGAATATGTGAAAATATACAGGGTGTTCCATTTGAAAAAAATTGCTGGCATTTCCATAAAAACCGGAAGTCCGCCATATTGGATTGTAATGTGATCAAATTCGAAATAGTTGCTTATATAACTGTATCGAATTTCAGAAAAATCCGTTGACGAATACAGAAGTTACAGGGGTGGCCCGATAGCCTGTGTCACCCGGTATAATTGTTCCTGTAGTGATTGTGTTTATTGTACTTACTCATCGAATAATGATGATGATTTTTGATCACAGAGCTTTATATTATCAATTATAAAATTCAAATCAATAGTCTAACAAGTCCGAACGAAATCACTTTCTACCAAAAGTTTTTTTTTTCTAAATTTGTTGATTTAAGGAAGTAAATAGAAAACTACCATAATAGGGCTATTATTCCATATTCTTGGGACATAATCTACAAAATCAGATTCAAATTGCGATTTTCTCGAAACTACGATTTGTGAGATGTTACACTATTGAACTATGGTATCGATATGTTGAGAAGTTTAAATTGTCTGCCTATTGGGGATTATTTCAAATTTTTGGTATGGGTACTTGTTTTTAAAATACATGGAGGTGAAGCACCAAATTATTCGGTAAATAAGCTGACTTGTAATGAAGAAATGCATCATCATAACACCAGACAGAAAGAACACTTTTTATTTTACCGAGTATATAGTAAAAGATTGGCAGAAAATTCCGTTTATTTTAAAGGATTGAAACAATATAATTACTTGCCATCTGACGTGAAGAATGCATTTTCCATCAATATATTCAAGACCAAGTTGAAAATGCATTTATTGAAACGAACCAACTCAAACTTTTGAAGATTTTGAATCGTTTATTTTATGTCCTGTATTTTTATTGTACCTTTTGTGTTGATCTTGAGTTTTTGAATTTTAAGGGTGTAGATCTTCCTCGTTCGTTCAGATCTTATGACTGTGTTTTTATATTACATTGACTTGTACCCAGACAGCACTGGATATTCATAGAATATTCTCTAAATATGCTAAAAAGGAGGAGTATATTCCGAATATTTATCGATTATTCCTAGAATATATACATGCCTCTGGAACATCTAAAAGGAATATTCGAAAGTGAATAGTCGGACATGTTCAGGGAATATTCACGTATGAATCTTCCAGGAATATTCCTAACTGAATATTCTCTGTTGTATATTCATGAAATATACCCAACTGAATATTCTGTGCGGTATATTCATGAAATATACCCAACTGAATATTCTGTGCGGTATATTCATGAAATATTCTCAACTGAATATTCGGTGGTGAATATTCATGAAATATTCCATGAATATTCCTTTGTTTCTCAACACATAAATAACATTTATTATTTCAGAGATATGAGTATCGAACATCAATTAGATGTAAGGAGATTTTGAAACAAAAAGTGTTCATGATCCGATTTCGAACAATGCTCTCACAAGAACTTGATATGTATAACATTATTCAATTCGATTACTGGCCTAGTGGTCAAGGCGTTGCTCTGATAGTCTTGAGGTCACGAGTTCGATCCCTACTTGGGTCGCTTTTTTTATTTTAGAATATGTTTATTGGAATATTCCAGGAACATTCAACATAGAATATTCTTTTGGGTATATTCTATGATTATCTGAGGAATTCCCATTCGCATATTTAGAGAATATTCCACAGATATTCCGGAATATTCCAGATTATTTCTAGAATATTCCAATATTCCAAAAGGAATATGATAGGGAGATTCATGAAATATCTGGTGCTGTCTGGGTATATTAGCTTTTGCTAAATAAATAAAGAATCAAAAGTAAATGTCTAAAACGGTCGTGCATAAAATATTATATGTATTTCGGGAGTAACTTGCTCTTATGGACCTAGGCGTGTTAATAGCCTTAGCTATCACTCGGGATCTTACTCGCACGCTGCGGTCCATAAAAGCTCACTTAACGCCCTTGACACATAAATGAACTTGTTTACAGGAATATAAGCCCAGTTGAAAATCTGGCAGTGTCCATAGCAGCTTTAGGGGAAGGATGGCATAACTACCACCATGTTTTCCCTTGGGACTACAAGACAGGAGAATTAGGCAATGCCTACAATCCTTCCACCACTTTCATCAACTTCTTCGCTAAACTAGGTTAGTATATTCGGGGAAGATGCCCCTGAATCTATACATTATCAATTTCAGAGTAAGACACTCAAGAATTACATTCTCAAACTGGTTGTATAACCATTATGGCGATTGAACTTGACAAGTTAGAGAAATGTTAGCCCAATAAAGTTATAAACTCTCTAATGTCTGAGATATTGTATTCCTCTAGTTTTAATTTTTTTGCTTTAACTAACATTTCTATGGTAGGATCTTTCCTTCATAGAAGCCCTAGTCTCTTGGTTAGCAAGATGTCTGTCAGTATATGAGCTTGTTCTTGCTTAGGTTGATGCAATCGTTTGACCTCTCTTGGATATATTTCCTCAGAAGTGTCTTCAGTTGTCTCCTTTTTGTGGATCTCTCCAGACATTGGATCTTTTGGTTACTACTCCTCTCTCCCAGCGAGCACAAAAACTTCTCAGAGATGTTAAAAGTACGAGATTTCGAGACATTGAACCTCTACTGCGATGTTCTGTTCATACATGAATTGAACTATTATAGAACAGCCAATGTCCGCCGCAGGCGGCAATTATCGAGATGTCCTTGATATGTCACAAAACTACCTTCGCCCTAGTTCTTTTTAAAGCCTTCATAGACACAACAGAACATTTTCAACGCGTCTTGCGCACATTGAATCGCTGTAAAAAAACATTTTCGAGGTACTTTTCTGAAGCTTTTTGTCAAAATGAGCTTTTGCATTAGGATTCCATTTTCCTTGAATGAAAAAATGCATTAAAAATAGATTGAACATAAAAATATTTTCTTGATGTGAAATTACCTTCTTAATCGGTTTCTGAGTAGTGCTTACTACACACAGACATATAATTGGAAAAAGGTTCCCCAATTTTCGAAATGTTCTCCACAATGCATAATTTTGCAACTGCGGAGAAGCTGTGTATTGATGAATTCGTACTTTTATATATTGATTACACTGAGGCACCGACAAAAGATCTTGCACCTGATGGTCATTATTACAAACTAAATAAGTCTTCTAACACAATAAACTTCACCAAATTCCTTTCTGTTCGTTAGCAGCGTGATGTAAGCGTGACACGCTGCTAACGCGAATGCCAATTGCGAACAAGAAGAACAAAATCGAAAACAAATCAGAATTCATCGTATTGTGACGTAAGCATGAGACGTTGTGGTGAAGCAAACAAAGAAAGGGCACAAAAGAACAAAAACAATACTTTCAATATCCTTCTAAGACCTCTTTGGGAAGTGCATATTACGTCTCAAAATAACATCTTCATGCCAACATTTTCAAAACATCCCAGGGATGTTTGTGCTCGCTGGGCTTGTTCTTTCAGTATTGTTCTTTCAGTAACCCTTCCTCTTCCTTTTGTCTGCGGTACCTCAAGTTTGCTAGTGAGGAGAGGAGTTTTTTTACCTTAGGCACCTATCTGTGATCGACAATATCCCAATATAGATTGACAAACTTGTCAACTTTGTTAAACGAAAATGAAATCGCTGAAAACATTGACTTTAAACTCATAACCTTTATATTTTACGACTAGAATGCGTTTCCAATATGGCGGACGAACAATTCATGCATCAGCTGCAACACTGTGAGTGAACCATAAACAGTAGCGGCGTTGAAATTCGTGCCGAAATATTAATGGACGCGTAGTCCCCGCGAAATTAACCCGTCTAGTTGAGGCTTCGCACTCCTTCGTGGTCACTCTGACGACCTGCAGAACATCTCTTTCCGAAGACTCGTTCATCCAACGAACAGCGTGGCTCTGGAACACATTGCCAAGGGAGGTGTCCCCCGAGGCATGTAACCTCCAGAAACTTAAGAAAACCAATTCCTACCTTATTTCCCTTGGTTCTCACGATGTTCTCTGAACATTACAGGATATCCCTCTTCGTGGGAACCAGAAAAAAAATCAATATTACCTACTTACAAGTTGTTTCATTTATTTATCAATTCAGGTTGGGCTTACGAATTGAAGAGTGTGTCTCAGAACATGATCCTGAGAAGAGCCCAGAAGACAGGAGATGGATCGCACCCCCAAATTTGGGGCTATGGCGACAAGGATATGGAGAAGGAGGACTTGATGGAGCTGGAAAATATGGCGGAAGAAAAGTCATTCTTGGATAAGGAGAAATGAACAATGCAGTATTCCTCTATTACATGATTCTGTGTCATTGTTATTCGTGTTGTTCGGATACGTTACAGGGTGAACAGATGAAGATTGATAGATGATGACATAGCTGAAGAAAATTCTGGCAACTCGAAATGAATGAAGTTTTCTGTATTGAACTCGTATATTGATATCATACTCGGAAGTAATGTAATCCTTCCTAACTCCAACACATTGTAGAACCACCTGCTTCATCTGTTCACTTTGTATTTATATTTGAGTTAGACAGAACAAACGTTGAAAATGATAATTATATATTACCTATATAATTGTATTAATATATTATGGTTGCTACAACTTCAACTTTTTTCTTCCACATACCCATTCCTGGTTGACTATGGTGACAAAAATATTCAAATTATATTTTCCAATTTTTATTTCGAATTGAGAGATATTCTACAGAAGCTTCTCAATCAACAATTACTGTTTGGATAGCCATATCGGATTTCACAATGAAAGAAGATATTTGTTTGCTGAGATAGCAGTAATATAATTGCAGGACAAATTATAAATTCAAGTGCATAAATTTTTTATTCAATATACTACAATCATCAATAAACAATAACAAATATGAGATATTGTAGCAATAACATCCGATAAGAGAACTATTTATGATTTTTTTGATTTGAACCATCCAAATATTCCGTGGTCAAGTATTGAATCTGAAAAAAAAACGCACTATCAACAATTATACAATAAAAGTTTGAAAGTTCTGGTTACCTTCGGAAATTAATACAATTGGATGAAAAGAAGAAAATATTATAACATATTGTTGATGACAATGTACAAATGAGGAACATATTCCAAAATTTTATGGTTAGGAAAGCGAGTGACATTTATTTACGATTATTTGGTACTTTCACTGAGGAAATGAATGTTTATATAAGAGTTCAACAATACTTCTGGTAAAACCTACAAGAGTAGAGAGTCTGTCTGGAAACAATTTGTCTCTGCCACTAGAAAAACTAAGAATTTTGTGGACTACCCCGACTCTCGTGAACGACAAAATATTCAACGAATAAAATTTTGAAACATAGAAACGATTATATTATTTGCTGTTCATGAGATAATCGTCCTAAATATCACTAGATCATGTCAAATAGAGAGGACTAATTGCTTGAATTCATCTCGACTAACTCATAGTTTGGGATAATCCAATCCGCGACCATATTTGAACATTGCTTTGCCTCAAATTGTTGGAATACAAGGCACTCTCGATATGATTATGAAGACAATTCAATTCATGTATGAAAGATTCCACAAGTCGCGTGATTTTGTCATTATGACAGAGAAAAAAGCTTGCCCTAACTTTTCCAGCGACAATAACGGAGCTTAACTTTTGAAAGCATAACAACCAGCCATAAACAAATATTTTTTTTATTCGGAAGTGCTCGCAAAAGGTTGAACCTATAATCCCGTGGTGGAACTGCGAGCACTAAGGAGGGACAAATATCGATAGATCCTCCTCTTGAAGGTAAATAGATTATAGTTCGCTGGAAATACATCTGTGGGTGAAGAATTCCACTATGAAGATGTCCTACAAAAGAAGGAGTTCTTGAAATATGTTGTTCTAGGTGTTTCAATTTTGACTGCATATTGGTGTGAGACTTGAGCCAGCCGCGTTTGGCGAACAAAGGTCATTCCAGTAGGGGGGACAGCTGATGACAATTCAACAAAGCATCGTCCATGATATAGTAGCGATAGAAAAGTGATAGGTCTGCAACGTCTCTCCGATGTTGTAAAGTTTGCAGTGATCTTATCAGAGTTGGGTCATTGATGAGCCTGATGGCTCTTCTTTGAACCGACTCCAGCAACCTCAGGGAGTGTTTTGGAGCTGATCCCCAGACGTGCGAACAGTACTCAAAGGATGGTCGAATCTGGGCTTTGTAGAATGTCAGAAGCTGTGAGGTGAAATAATTCTTCGCGCGAAAATCCCAGCTTTTGAGAGGTAGCTCTGGCTATATTGGCAACATGGTCATGCCAAGATAAACTATCCAGATACCGTGATGCCGAGCATTGATAGTGATGAACTGATTGGTAAGGTTCTTCCAGCCATAATTGTATCAGGACCCGCACGGTTAGCCTTCTTAGACAAAACTGTTGCTTGAGTCTTCAAAGCGTTGAATTGTACGAGGTTCGAATTGCCCCATTGTTGGATCCTTATTTCCAAATCGTCGTTGACGGTCTGGATCTGTTGCAAACGTAGGCCTTGGTTGGTTGCTGCGGATATTGGTGTATCAGAGGAGTATGATGCTATAAGAGTGGTATCGTCAGCAAAACTGAAGAGATCGAGGGTTGGTATAGTCATGTGCAACAGATCGTTGATATGTAGTAAGAAAAGCGTTGGGGATAGAATGGAGCCCTGTGGTACTGATGCATTGGTTGGCAGTGTGTCTGAAGTAATCCCGTCAATAACTACATGAAGACTTCGATCTTTAAGGAAGCTGGTAATCCAACGGCATAGTAGGGGCGGCAGACCATAAGAAGGCTACTTGTTCAGGAGTGCCTGGTGCCATACTCTATCAAATGCATCAGATATGTTTATGGCAATAGCCCTAGATTCTCCGTGTTTTTCTAGAGTTGAGTTCCAAATGTGGGTTACATATGCTGAATGGTCGCCAGTTGATCTGCGTTGCCGAGAGCCATATTGCCTATCAGATGTTTGATGAATTAAATTAACTTACAGAATTACCCTCTAGCTTTTTACTTTAGTCGAAGTAAACTTGGCATTTATAATTTGAATTTTGTTGCCATCAGGTAATACAACTCAAAAAGCTGCCAGAAAAAATTACTCGTCCTACGGACTCGTAATTTTGTCAGAGGCAGTTTTTTTCGTCAAATTGCCAGGCAACAACATTCTTATTGATACGACATTTTCTCGTGTAATTGTATTGATATATTATGGTTGCTACAACATCTATACTTTTTTTCCACATGCATATTTCTGGTTGACTATGGTGACAGAAATAAACAATCAAATTATATTTTCCAATTTTTATTTTGTATTGAGGAATATTCTACAGAATGCTTTCAAATCAACAGTCACTGTTTGGATAGCCATATCGGATTTCACGATGAAAGAAGATATTTGTTGCTTAGATAGCAGTCATATAATTGCAGGACAAATCATAAATTCAAGTGCACTAATTTTTTTTTCTTCAATATATACTACCCCCTACTATGATCAATTATTAATTTGCTCTAACAAATATGAGATATCCTAGCAATAACATCTGATAAGAGAAATATTTATAATTTTCTTGATCTGAACCTTCCAAGTATCCCGTGGTCAAGTATTGAATCTGCAACAAAACGCACTGTCAACGAATAAATGATAATATTAATTCTTTCTCGGTTTATTCAACAGAAAACAACTACTTTCCTGGATATATGCCACGACGAACATTGAATTACATCTATTGAACATACACGATAAGAATTTGAAAACAAAATCTTCTGAAGTAGAGAATTTGCATTTTCCTTCATATGAAGATATGCATATTGACATTCTGAATATTCAACAGAAAACAACTACTTTCCTGGCTATTTGCCACGTCGAACATTGAATTATATCTGTTGAATATCAGAAAAGAGAGCATGAAGAACAAAATTCTCTGAAATTGAGATTGCATATATTTTGTTTTCATGATAGTATGTCGATACTCACATTCAGTTCTTGTTCACCTACTTTATGTTTATGAAACTGAAATTGAGAGAAATTCTTTTTACCGCTCTAGTACGTTAAAGTGAAGTATGGTGATCTGATTATACCAAAATCATATCAGTGTTGTAATGTGTGTGATTTAACATATTGGTGAAAATTGTGTACGCGCGATGTTCCACATACACTATAGGAATTTCCTTTCGTGCGCTCCAAGAGACAAAAAAATATTGTTCTCACCGAATAGTTTTTTGTGTTCTTCTAGAACATCCCTAATAGCTGTGATAGCTGCTCCTACACCCTTGTCAACTGCTTCAGCGATATTATGCAGAACGTGTTCTCCTACTTTTGTAGATGAGTCATTTACATCTTCTTCTATAGAAATTGTAGGATTCCCTGTTATAGTTTCAGTATCGTCTATACCTGTTTGAAAAAAAAAATGGAAATAAATTCAGAAAAATAATATGTATACAGTGTGACCCATTTAAGATGGAAGCACCCTTATAAAACTTACATTTTTCAACCGATTGGAATGATTTTTTTTCTGTTAGGTAGATATTCAAAAAGTCTATTAGGACACCAAATATCATGAATAAATCTCCATTTCCAGGGCCAACTAATCTGATCTTTCAAGGTCAAAAATCTAAAAAAATTACTAGCGATTTTTTTAGAAAAAATCTGACTACACCACTGGATTTGTGACATTTTCAAATTGGTAACATGTAAATTACGTTGAAATGCGTCAATCAATAAAAAAGTTATAAAGGAATGAAATTTGAAAAATATACCGTTTAATCAACCCATCAATTTTTATTACTGAACAGATTTCGATGAAACTGTGATCAGTAATATTTCAAGACATCCTGAATCCAGTGGAATATACAGAATTTTCATAAAATTCCTGAACATGAATTGGTGGGTTGATTAAACGGCATATTTTTCAAATTTCATTCCTTTATAACTTTTTTATTGATTGACGCATTTCAACGTAATTTACATGTTACCCATTTGAAAATGTCACAAATCCAGTGGTGTAGTCAGATTTTTTCTAAAAAAATCGCTAGTAATTTTTTTAGATTTTTGACCTTGAAAAATCAGATAAGTTGGCCCTGGAAATGGAGATTTATTCATGATATTTGGTGTCCCAATAGACTTTTCGAATATCTACCTAACAAAAAAAATCATTCCAATCGGTTGAAAAATGTAAGTTTTATAAGGGTGCTTCCATCTTAAATGGGTCACACTGTATATAGATAGATTGTCTAAAATGAACACAGTTTGTCGACAGTCAATATCTATCTGCGATCTTCCGGAAGTGTTTCAAATCATTGATTATAGCTACACTCAGTTCTCAAAAAAGTGACGCACTTGATATTTGACCTATCTTCTTAACAAAAAAAAACGAAAAATAGTAGGCCGATTTTTCTTTGGTAGGTAATGCATTTGTCTTCAAAAAAAAATAAAGAGGTAACATTTTTTCAAAGCCTCCTCGATGGTGGTGGAATAACTCGAACCATGATTTATTCTTAATTTTTGACTCACCCAGTGTGTTAATTGACTAATGGTATACAAAGTGCTTACACCCTATACGAAAGAGGCTTCTTTTGAAAGCATTTTGTTTTTTTATTCATTGA